GATTGAATCCAAATCACTAACTAAAATATTTAAGCTGAAATTGATAGTAGTACATTTGTCAGACTTTTATAAATTAATTTTAGTCTTATTCACTTCCGATGTAGGAGTAATTTGAATATTATAATTTATCCCACTTGAGGATTGAATATCCTCGTCAAGATCTAATATAGTTCAAATCATAGCATGGTGCACGTGAGGCATAGTTTAGTGGTAGCTCCACGCTATAATGAGTCATCTGACTCCCTCCATAGGTAGTCATTTTCTACTCGAGTCCATCTTCATATTTCAATTCTAGATCGATTCTGATATCATTTGTCAAGACCCAAACCTGATAGACTAACTAGCTTATTAACTTTGTTGAACCCAAACCACGAATTAAAATACTTAAATTGAAGTTAATAGTAGTATACTTATCATACTCTCTAATAAGTCAATTTCAATCTTGACCACTTCCGATGTGAAACTAATTGGAGTTTTACATTCCCCGTAGATGGAAAAACAATATCAACCAACCCCCCTTTGAGACTATCTATTGGTGATTAGGATGACAAACATACCATACAAATTACCTAATATAACTACTCAAGTTTAATCAAATTCACATTATGACAATATAGGCCATTAGGACCCTCTAGAAAGCCCAAAACCTCCGTTAGATCAGGATCATCCTCTAGAACAAGGAGCTTACATAGGATGCATGATCATGCAATCACATCATAGTGATTAGGGTGCAAGAAAAACCATACAACATTTCAATACAAGAGATTCTGCATAAGAATGACAACCACATGATGACCAAGAAAAAACACTTGTGTTACTGCAAGATTAAGGCAAAACATAGTATGGGACATCATTTGGGCATTAGAATGACAAGTTAAACTGCAAATGCAAATTGTATGTTTGGACCTTCCTTCCTTGTCTGTTTGTTTTTTTTTGCTTAATTTTTTTCAGTGTTTTTATCAATTTCATGTGTATTACTATCTAAATCGGATAGTAATACAGGGATGGATCCTTTTTCTTGAGAAAAATCGGATGACCTTTGGCTACCTGTTTCTACTTCATACAATCTCACCAGACCAACCTTTCTTCCCTGCGAGAACTCCATCCATCTCGTCCATTCTGCAGCGTTGTCGATGCCATCCACAAAATTACTTCGTTCGCGTACAGACGGATCGTCATCGATCTTTTTGAACGCAGAATGTGAATCTATATATTCCATAGGCATATCGATCGACAAATGCATACTTTTTGGGGTCCGAATCGAAGCAAACGGAAGGATGTTCCAACTTCGCTCGATCGACCTTGGGATATGCTTGAGATCGTTTGGAGAGCGCCAAACACCCAATAGCCGAGCTTTTCTTGGACCGACGAGAGCCGTAGCCGAAGGAGTCGGCTTTCGACCACCTCGCAACCCATCCAACGGTTGAAATCCCACCATCTCAAGGGCCGACGGCAAGTAGGGCTGCGTCCCCACGGGGCGGCCGGATGTGGATCTCGATCCGCCGGCCTAATCTATGAGAGAAGCCCAAAAGCAGAAGAAATGACCGCCGATAGGCGGTCACGAAACTAGCAGCAACCGGTCCCGACCGGTGGGTTGCTGCAAGATATTTAATGGGGAAGTTGGGAGCGGCGAGAGGCTTCGCCGTGCTCACTCGCACGATTTGTGATTTCCCCTTCGGCGCTTCCTTCGGCTCTGCGATTCTCTTTCAATCTTCCAAATGACTGGGTTGTGAGGTACCCTTCGTCCATCTGCTCCACTTCTGAGGAAAAAGATTGTGTTTTTTTCTATTCTCTTTAATTGCAAATGCCGTCTTTTAGTGTTTCGGATTAACCATTTCGCATGGTCTCCTCACAAATGATTTTGTTTTTCTTTGCTTCCGTATCGGTGGATTTGTTGGTAATATTGTCGTAGTTTTCTTGCGCTTTCGATTTCGGTGGTGAAAGTGGGTTGCAATTTTGGTGGAAAGATGATACACTTGTGATCGGTGGGATTGGTGAGGTGTCGATACATGTAGATCTTCCTTTTGTTGCTTGTTGCATGAGCTCATTTGATCTCTTCAACCGAGATTTTTCTGAGGATCCGGATGTTGACCATGAAAGAAGAAGAAGAAGAAGAAGAAGAAGTCATTTGTCCAAGTCAGAAAAAAGAAAAGAAAAGAAAAGAAAAGAAATGCATGGTTCATGCTTACCTTGTATCAAAACAAAATAAGAATGTGCTATTAATCGATGGGGGTTGTTCTTTTTGTTTTCTCGTGCTTGTTCCTTTCATGCTGTTTCAAACATCTACTTTGATGCATCCTATTACAAGCTCAATCTTTAGATGGAAGCTGGATCTGCCTCCAGGTATCATCATCCTGCCGTATGAAGTCACTCAACTTGATTTCATCCAATTTCCATGGGTCTGGGTCTTCAACTTGAAACAGTTAATCTAGTAGTTACGCTGATGGAAACTCTTGTAACCCTCAGGTGACATACATAAGCCTCAAGCTTGACAAAGAAATTGCATGCATTGGCAATATAGGTCAGGATTTGAAACAAAGAAATTGCATAAGGGGAACCTTTGAACAACGTTTAGACCCTGTGTTTCTCTTGACATGTGGTCTTATGTCGTTCACTTGATTGATTTGATTTAATATAGTTTTGGTTGATTTGCATCATGAAATAGTGCTTTAAGCTCTTAAGTTGGTAGGATTTAATTACGTTGACGAAACTTATATAACCCACGGTGACATACCATAAGCCCTAACCTTGTTTTGTCCTCTGGGGACCATGCTGCTTTGTCTTTCTTTTGACATGAGCCAATTCAGGCAACGATTTCACAAGAAATAACCTGTAAACGATATAATTACAGCCCAAGTCTCCACAGCGACGTACTTCTTTTCATCCACCCAATCTGTTCTCTGAGTGACAAATCAGGCTATCTATCTTATGTTTGCCAGAATTTATCTGTTGTTTTCTGTTTCATGACAACGCCATCTTACGTTAGCTTCTGTTCTGTATTCTAACATAATAACTGAATATGTTGAAATGGTCATTTGTCTTTTCTTTGGTGCAGCTTCCATTTCAGCTGCTTGGCATTAAAATGGAGTCTGGCTTCGGAGGAGTATCTAGTGGATCATCATGTCCTGAGATTTCTTTAGCTCACCAAGACATTCAAAGATGCCCATTCTTGAGAAATATCAATGAGCCTACTAACTTCTCCTTCTCATCTGTCAATTTTCCTGTCCCTGTAAGTGTTGTCAACTTTTCCTCATACATCACCAATTAGATGTGATCTCATTATTACTTACGCACACTCTTTGGTTTATTAAGGTACAAGGAACCAAGGGTCCAATCTTTGAAGATGGACCCAATTTTGAAATGGCATTTAGGCTTTTCCATGGGCAAGATGGTGTTGTTCCATTCTCTGGAAAATTGTTTGTGCCTGGTGGGAAACCATCCATTTAATCCCTTAGCAGCAAAGGCAGCCACGATCAGTCTTTCAGCTTTTGGACCTGGAGGACCTTTCGGCTTTGACTTCTTCTCAAACAAGCCGAACAGGCAGAACAATAGATCTTCTCAGGTAGTTTGTTTATCTTCAGTTATTCTTACCTTCTAAAATGACATAAATTTTTTATTCCCTCCATATTTTAACTTGATTTTAGATATGTTTATATAATATCCCATGTCTTTGATCTCATTAATAAGAATAACTAGCACCATTTTGACATTTAAAGAGTGAAAAATCTGACATGACGATAGTGAATAGTTCAACATTTTTCTTGCATCTAATCCAAAACCTTGCTCTTATTGCTGCCCTATGGTCGTAAATATTGATTATGTTGTGCATGTCTATTCCGACAGTACGAAACCTACTTTGTGTCTCTGGACTTCACTACTGAATTGTTGGGATGTACACAAACACTTTTCTTATGCAGTTGACCATGATCTAGAAAGGTGGTTCTCTTGGAACATTATAAGTCACTATTAATGTTTCAAGATTGTGTTATTTCTATGCTACGAGGCATTGTATTCGCTCGCTGAACTCTGGCTTGGAATAAAATGTTGCAGAAAGGAAGTGATTCAATGCATGAGTCGCAGAGCAATGAGTGGCTAGAAAGCGGGCAGTGCCCCATAGCAAAGTCGTATAGGGCAGTTAGTGGGGTTCTTCCTCTCGTTGCAAAGGTTTTAAAGCACCACCAGCAGGCGTGAAACTAAGGTGTCCCACCCATTGTGGTGGCTGCCCGTGCGGCGCTGGCCCAAACTGCTTTTGTGAAGAACCTCCGCCCACAACCTCTACCAGCAAAGATGCTAACTATAGCCATGCTGGGCATGGCAGCAAATGTTCGCCCTCGGAGCATGGAGGGAACATACCACGAAGTTCCCCCCCTCCCCCCACCCCCCCAGTGGTTTGCTGCAGTTCATGCCGCCGTACCTTTCATCGCAATGCTTAGAAAGTCCGTGTTGATGCCCAAGACCGCCATGGCAATTACGATATCTTAGGTCAGACCATCGGATCGAGAGCTGAGCTTCGATGGCTAAAAGCAGTTGCAGCAGCTGAGGTGGGTGGCCCTAGGGTTTGTTAAAACAAGAGCTGTTATTTGTGCCCTAGGGTGGGCCTTTCCGTCAAAGTGGAGGGTGTGGTCTCTGCGGCTGCTGCTTCACCGGCGGCGACTATATGCTATCGACGGAGTTGTATTCTGGTACAAAAGCTATATGGTAGCATTCAATAATTACATATCCAGCATGGGGATCGACTGATTACTGTTTGACGGTCATGTGCATATGAGTATAACTGGGCTTATGAAGTTCTCCTCAAGGCCTAGGTGAATAAAAAGAAATCAATTGAGCTTGGTGTAGGGAGGTGACATGATGGAAGCTGCAGTTAGTCTAGCTTGTTTTTTGATGGCATTCGAAAGAGAATTTTCGAGTTGATTCGTCTGTGTACGTTTATAGCTTGAAAAACAGAGGCCGTCGGATGATGCGTGTTTGCATCGTCGGAAAGTGGAAGCATATGGTGAGCAACAGATCATGTCATTTTGTTCATCTTATATTTCTGCGTCTCAAGTGCGGTGGTGGCTGCATGGGGGATAGGTTGGGTCGGTTCAAGGCTTCATGTGGTGGTGGATCGTAGCCATCCTATTTGTTTGAGAAGAGTCGGCATGGCAACGACACCTACCCACCCACCCAACCTATCGCAGTCAGCAGTCAGAGAGATAACATCAAGTATCAAAAGAGAGATAACATCAAGCATCAAGACACCAAAACTCGCAGGTCATGTGATGCTATTTGGCTATCACTGGCACCACGGTGGCCAAAGGGTAGCTCGTTACGATTACCACCTGTGCACGCGCCAACTTTCATCCGACAAAAGGGTAACCAGATAAATAGTAATCTCTCACCCGCGATGCACCATCTCTCGCCAAGATGCCCTCCAAGTCACCCATGATCCTTGCCAACCAGATCTCCAAGTTCCGCTGTATCTCCTTGAAACTGCTCCTAATTGAATCCGCAGACTTCCTCGTGTTCAATTTAGCTTCTGCAGTTAGCTCATCCCCCACACGGCTCTTCGCTGCCGCTGCCGCTGCCTGTGCCTGCACTGTGTTCAGCTTCTGTCTTGTTTCGGCCGCACGATGTTGTAGGCGAAATGCCTCCAGCAAGAACTCGGTCAGCCTCTGCGTACGAAACTCTGGACCCAGTGTTGGATCACTGGGGTCATTCACTCGCTGCACAAAACACGGCAGAGCGTCAAACAGTCCCGTCTCGTTGGCATGAATTAAAGGTATTTAACAAGGAAAACCCAACCCTACTTGATGGCCTAACAAGTTCTTTCCTGTAAGAAAAATTTGCCCAACAAATTGCTGTTGCCCAGTAAAATGATTTGTTAATGAATGCATCGGCCGATATATATTACTACGAATTCTGCATATGATCTTTAAATGGCACATCAGACTGTCGTTAGAAAGCAACAATGAAATTCAAGCTTAACTAAGTCATGATCCATAGCGAAATTGTTTAGCATGTCCAACCGAACAATGAATGTTAAGCTTTGTGTTGTTTAGTCTGGCACTTTTGCTTTTAGCTAGCTTCGAAACAGCAAAAGTAGGTGCAGCACGAAGACATGTATCGCTTCCAAAGCCTCTAATCAAGAATATCATGATAAAATAGTGATTAAAGAAAAAAAAAAGAGCATACGAGTCTAAGTCAATTTATGCATGAGAGAGAAGCAGAACAAACTAACTAACAATGAGAAAATAGCAGTCTAACTTACCATTTTCCTGCACAAATCGTCAATTTTGGCAGCAAGAGATTGATATCTCTTCTCTTGTTTCCTCATCGACGAAGGGATCTTCGACGTATCCCCTTTCCCTAGTTTTTCCAGGTTAACCAGTTCATCTTCAAGTGATTTAAGCTTAGAAGAAACTCGTGAAGATTCAGCATCAACCCTCCAAGGGGATTCCCTCCTAAAGATGAATGAATTTGTTTTCAAGCTCGTAAGGACATGACTACTTCTTGTGTTAGCATTTTCAGTCGATAATGAGTCGAAAGTACCTTGCTACTCCATGTTTCATGCTGTGTGCCAAATCAAGTGACTCATGCTGCATATCCTGCAAGAACGAATGTGGGAATAAAAACACACAAGCCTTTTAGTGGTGATGTCAAAAGGGAGCATCACTCGATTACGTTAAAAGTGATTGGCCATTCAATTGAGCTATTTGAGAGAGAAAGTATAATATATACAGATAATCCTTCCTAATCACCTGAGACGCATGGCATCAACACTATACTAATCTTGTATGCCATTCGGGGTGGTGACACCTTCACATGGTGTTAGTGCTGCAACAGGGGAAAGCGTTTAAAGTGGGGGGGGGGGGGGGGGGGCAGTAAAACTTGTACGAAAAACGAATCATGACCACGACCTTGTTGAACTAAATATCTAGACAATGCTCGTGGCCTCTCTAACAATCTGGAAGCATCTTAACAGACTGGAAATGCACTAACAGACACCATTGTAAACAACAGCGACAAGGCTTGTGAAGCACATTAATAACGATCGACCAGCAAAAATCTCGACACCGTACTAGTCGTCCTAACAAAAATATACACTGGATGCAGATATTTTTCAGTAAAACGGCAGACTGCTATGCAAACATAACATAGCGTCAGCTGGTGACGGAACAACCAAATCATGGGCATAAACAGCTTCCGCCGTTGCATAGGATATGAGGTGCAGCATTTAACAGCTTCTCTATAGGAACAGTTTCCGCAACTAATCCAAAGACGACGAAGAAGAAGAAGAAGACGAAGAAGAACATACATACCGGACACTGAGCTCCTACCGGCCATCCGCCCCATCGATCCGTCCACTGTTTCGTATCTATCGGCGCCATTAAGAACTCCCTTCCGCACCCGTTCTGCTGCGCCAACAGACCCATCATTCCCTCCGATTCCCCGTTGCGCTCCAAGAACCGCTCCTCCAGCGGCATCGTATCCGAAACCCTAACCCCGGCGCCACCATCGTCCACCGAGTCCTCCCCGGCCACCTCCATCAGCGACAACGACCCGTCCCTTTCCACCTTCCTCGCCATGAAGTCGAGCATTTCGTCCCTCTCCGCCACCTCCCTCTCCAGCCGCACCACGGCGGCCCTCAGCTCCGCCTTCGCCCGCTCCATGTCCTCGACCTGCGCCGTCAGCGCCGCGATCTCCTCGTCTGCACCGTCGATCCGGTGGAGGAGGCGCTTCTCCTCCTGCTGCCACTGGGTCCGGTGGCCGGCGAAGATCTCGGCGACTCGGGCGTTGGCCTTGGCGCCCTCCTTCAGCCGCGACCGCAGCTGCCGAAGCTGGTCCTCCGCTTCAAACAGCTTCATCGCTAGGATCCGGTTGCGGGACTGAAGCGACGACACGTAGGAGGCGGAAGACTTGGGGAGTAGCCCCAGGAACAGAGCGAAGCCGAGGCCGAGATAGGAGGACAGCAGCGACGCCCCCGCCTGGGGCTTCGCCTCCTCCTCGATGGAGCTCGAGGGCCTCGCCGTGGTCTTTCCCACTGCGACAGCATCGGCCGCCATCGACGGGACTTGCGACGAGCTGGGGGACTCCGTCACCTCCGTGTGGCCCCCGGGGTTCATATAGGGTCATCGTGGTCCCAGATTACTAAAATACCCTCGATGCTGGATACAATTACGAAAAGTTGAGACTCCAAGGGAGATCGGACGGTGCTGCAGCCATCGATGGTGATCCGTGATGAGGGCAATTCTGGGCATGGGTGCAAAGGACGAGTCATGGTGTCATTATTGGAGATGACCATCATGTGTCACGGCATTGGGAAGGAGGAGGAAATGAGCGAAGTGGGCAGAGGAAAAGGCGAGGCTGCCTTTTTGTTCTGCTACTTCACAGGGACGGGAAATAATGAGATTTCGGTCCCTATGGGTTTTGGCAACAACCGCTGCCATCTGAACCGTCGTCTCTCTCTCTCTCTCTCTCTCTTCTCGGTTCGTGTGCAGCAGTTGTGAATAGGATTGATTAACAAATAGGATGCGAAAGAGAGGAGGAAGATTAGTGGTTAAACGAGTCTTCTTCCACGTGAAGGGGGGAGGCGTATTGTATTCTTTCATGCACGCCACAGGTGTTTTGGCTAACGTACATTGATTGGGCTGTGGAGTGCACCCGAGTCCCTTTTTGGATAATCTTATGGCCTTTGGTAAATTAAACTTGAGTGGTGGCTGTGTCGTTTGGGAGCAAGCCTTGTGTTCCGGAGGAGCTCACTCACGTTCTTGAGTTGGAATTGGGTCTTGGAATCATCCGAAGGAAACCGTGCGTCTTCTATGATGTCGTCCTTTGGTAAGCAGCAAACCTGCATGCCAGCCAGCCTTTGGGACATAATTGCAATCCAAAGCGGGACCGCTGAACACACACGCGCTGGCCCGCTGACAAAGGCTCGGCGTCCTTTTGGATTACTGACCGATGCGGGGTGGGCAATCGCAAGCCCAGATCAAAAAGGAAGACTCATCGGTATCTCAATCGGATCCATTACTTGGTCCCCTTCCCTGGTCGTCCCAACATAATAAAAGGACAAATCACTCCACCTGACTTTTAAGAGGAAGATGGTAAAAAACACACGCATAAAAGAGTTGGGATGGTTGGTGGTCGCGGTCATAGAAATGGTCCCGATTAGTTTGAATGCGTTTTGGAGAGAGATTTCTTATGGTTTAGTTTCCTTGATGGATGGATTTTTTATTTATATATGTAGAGAGAGAGGGTGTCGTTTTGTTTTCATCATCGACCCTAGTTAGATATGTAGACTCATGCAAAGCTACAGGTTTATGGTACACGCTCGGGGAACTTGTGGGGTCATAAGCTGCTTCTCCAACCATTGGATATTGGCTTCTCAATCATCGACTCCGTCGGAAGCAGACGAATACAGTAGCGATCAAGAGGAAGGCAAAAAGACTGTCCGCTCCCATGTATCCTGAATCTGTAGGTGGCAGGCGAAGCATCGAAATGTCCACCGGGCGACGGTGATGGCTGCATGCGTTTGTCTTGCCGAATGAAGAAGAAAATTCTGTCTTGCTTGGCTGGCCGCAGTTCATATAAAGGTAGACAGGAAGGCAGGCAGGCAGGCAGGCATGCATGCATGCATGCAGAGGACGTGATGGTACGTCCTCTTGAGATCCAAATCTGCATCGGTTCGGCCGCCCTTCCTCGGTCGATAAGACCTTTCCTTGGCTATCGTTCGACTGTTACAAAGACACGACAAACTTCATCTTCTCTCTCTCTCTCTCTATCTTCCCAAACGGTCGAGTGCAGCTATGATCTTAACTGAGTTGCCTTAATAATCTTAATCCATATAAATTGGAAGTCCTAAAGTAGATAAATCTGATGATGCTACAAAATAAATATTTCATCATAAAGCCAATCGAATCGGCGATGAGTTGGTGGATTTCCACAGGGATGGGTGATAGTGTCGAACCAGGCATCACTTCGTTTCACCTGATTCGATCTATAGTGCCTCTCAAAGCTTATAAATATGTAGGGTCTTGGTGAACAAATATATTATGGCTGGTGAGTTAGCACGGCCTGATCCATAGGTCAATGTCAGGAGTCTTCTGTCGGCTAGGCTGAATGCCGAGGTCGACCGAGCCCTCGCGACGGGGTATTGATCAGCATTCCTCACCATGTATGTCGAGCTACGTCTCTCCTTCTCCGGGGTGGCTAGCAGCTCGCCTTTGTGAGGTGGTCGAGTTTTCCTGCAAAAATGACCCTCGACGGGATCACCCGACGAGCAAGTCAGTGGAGTGATCAATTGATCTTTTTTCCCCCACTGCCAGATGCTGGCTAAAGGTCTTTATAGTACTGCACGTGGGTCAGTCGTATGCGGGTTGGTGTGATAGACATGTCAAACAGTGCCTTGGTACGGATTTTGACTTGGTGTGTCTCGAGAGCGGCTTTGCCTCGGGATTCCCAATACGAATTCTGACTGTGGCCGATGGCGTTGAACTCTGACGTGTCTTGGGCCAAAATATACCGTATCACTTCTCCCTCTCCCCACGACCCCTCCTTTCCAAGGCGTCCTGAAGGGCCGGGAGGCATGCCTGGGTCCGAATGATGCGATTATGTTGGTTACTCCTGCGGGGAAGCTGGATTGATACGTCGGGGAATGATTTAGAGGGGCGGTGCCCTGTGATTCGGGCAGGACTGATCCTGCTGATCGATCGGTGGGGGCCTGGTGAGGCGAAACTAAAGCGTCAAAACCGGCGAGGCGAGACCTGTGTGGCGAGGTTGGATTGACTCGTTGGGGGCGTTTTAGAGGGGCGGTGTCCCATGATTCGGGCATGACTGACCCTACTGATCGAACGGGTTTAGCAGGCCCGGAGTTACGGTTGCCGAGATGCGATTGAGGTGTGGCTCAGGCGTTGGATTGGCCGAGGTGCGCTAAGGCGTGGCTCAAGCGTTTAGATTGGCCGAGGTGCGCTGAGGTGTGGCTCGAGCGTTGGATGGCCGATGTGCATGGCTCGGACGCTGGATTTGACCGAGATGCGACTCGAGCATTGGATTTGCCGAGATGCATGACTCGGACACTAGATTTGGCCGAGATGCATGGCTCGGATGCTGGATTTGGCCGAGATGCAACTCGGGCGTTCGATATGCCGATATGCGTGGCTCGGACGTTGGATTTTGGCTGAGATGCGACTCAGGTGTTGAATTTGCCGAGATGCATGGCTCGGGCATTCGATTTGCTGAGATGCGTAGCTCGGACACTGGATTTGGCCGAGATGCAACTCGGGTGTTGGATTTGCCGAGATGCGTGGCTCGGGCATTGAATTGGCCCCGAGACGTGACTCGGTTTGAAGGTTGGTCCTGTGGTCCGAGTGACTGAGTTTGGGCTCGTGTTTCGATGCCGATGGGTTACTAGTTGGGAGCCAATCTGGAGTGACCCGGGCAAGAAATGGGCTGACGAGCCGCAAGTCGGGGATCGATCTGGAGCAGCTCGTAGGAGAGCTGTGCCAACGGGTCGCAAGTCAAGAGTGATCCGGGCAAGAGCCGGACCTACAGGCCAGGCGACTATGCTCGTGCTCAGGTTTCGGTGCCGGTGGGTCGCCTATCGAGAGCGATCTGGGGCCACTCGGGCGAGAAACTGGACCGGCGAGTCACAAGTCGAGGATTGACATGGAGCGACTCGGGCGAGAGCTGTGTCGATGGGTCGCAAGTCGGGAGCCGATCTGAAGTGACCCGGGCAGGAAATGGGCCGGTGAACTGCAAGTCGAGAACCGATCTGGAGCGGCTCGGGGGATGAACTGAGCCGACGAGTCGCAAGTCAAGAATCGATCTAGAATGACTCGGGCAATGAATTGGGCCAGCGAGTCGCAAGTCGGGAACCGATCTGGAGCGACTCGGGCAATGAACTAGGCCAGCGAGTCGCAGGTCGGGAACCGATCTGGAGTGACTTGGGCAAGAGCTGGGCCGACGAGTCGCAAGTCGAGGATCGACATAGAGTGACTCATGCAGAAGCTGGGCCGGTGAGTCGCAAGTCAGGGATTGACATGGAGCGACTCGGGCGAGAAGCTGAGCCGACGAGTCACAAGTCGGGGATTGACATGGAGCGACTCGGGCGAGAAGCTGAGTCGGCGAGTCGCAAGTCGAGGATTAACATGGAGCGACTTGGGCGAGAAGCTGAGCCGATGAGTCACAAGTCGGGGATGCACATGGATTGACTCGGGCGAGAAGCTGAGCCGACGAGTCGCAAGTCGAGGATTGACATGGAGCGACTCGGGCGAGAAGCTGAGCCGACGAGTCACAAGTCGGGGATTGACGTGGAGTGACTCGGGCGAGAAGTCAGGGATTGACATGGAGCAACTCGGGCGAGAAGCTGAGCCGACGAGTCATAAGTCGGGGATTGACATGGAGTGACTCGGGCGAGAAGCTGAGCTGGCGAGTCGCAAGTTGGGGATTGACATGGAGCGACTTGAGCGAGAAGCCGAGCCGACGAGTCACAAGTCGGGGATTGACATGGAGTGACTCGGGCGAGAAGCTGAGCCGACGAGTCGCAAGTCGAGGATCGACATGGAGCGACTCGGGCAAGAAGCTAAGCCAACGAGTCGCAAGTCGAGGATTGACATGGAGCAACTCGAGCGAGAAGCTGAGCCGATGAGTCGCAAGTCGAGGATTGACATGGAGCGACTCGGGCGAGAAGCTGAGCCGACGAGTCACAAGTCGGGGATTGACATGGGGTGACTCGGGCGAGAAATGGGCCAGCGAGTCGTAAGTCGAGAACCGATCTGGATCGACTCGGGCAATGAACAGGGCCAGCGAGTCGCAAGTCGGGAACCGATCTGGAGCGACTCAGGCAAGAGCTGGGCCGACGAGTTGCAAGTCGGGGATTGACATGGAACGACTCGGGCAGAAGCTGGGCCGGCGTGGCGGCTGGTCCTCTAAGGGCGGTATCATGACAGGATGATAATGACCAGTCGCTGGCCAGGGGACCGAGCTGTGTGGCTCAAGAGGAGACCGGTCCCGTTGGTTGAGTAGTTGATCTTGGGCTTAGGTCTGCTGGCAGGAGACCCTTTGTCATGAGCGGTGCCATCACGCCA